GTTGTACATTTGCTGTCATGTTAAACTTATATTAAAGTTTTTCTTCATTACCCATTTAAGCCGTCTCCAGCCATTATTAAATTGTACATGCAGTTACAATAAAAATATAACAATACAAACACATACACATTTTCCTCATATAGCAGGATCCCAGCACTCTTTCATAATTACAAGACAAAACAAACTTACTTCAAAACAAGCCAGCCAGAATCCACGTCCATGATTATAGGTTCAATCCGTGGACTATTGGTGTAATGATATCGAATGGGAAGTTCATTTTTATGATAAACAAGAGCATGTTGTTCCTTGCACTTCAAACTATCAATTATTTCTTGAATGGCAGCTTTAAAATAAGAAACTTTATGTAGGAACAAATATTTTAAATATGATCACAGAATTAAAAATTTTAAAACTTCATTTGCCAACAAAAATCTAAATATACAATTACAAAATAAATTTTTTGCACTTTACTGAACACTAAAAATATAATTATGATCACAGAATAAACAGGGCCAGACAAAAAACAATATAAAACCACACTCTGCACTTTGGGTCCATAATGCATCACAAGAGTGAAAGTTGAATCCCACCATTTAATTAACAGTAGCTCACAAGATGGGGTAAGTACTATTGATTAGCTATCTGCCCTCTAGCATATCAGTTCAAAATTAGGGACAGCTTGCAAAGATAGTCCTTTAGTAACTTTATGCAAATATTCAAAACAAAATTAAAAATTACAAAAACCATTGAAAACAAAGTCTAAAATATGGTTATAGAATAAAAATTATCAAAAATATGTAAAACAAAATTAATACATGATCATAGAGTGAAAAATATTACATTATTCTTTTTTACTTCAAAGTATGAACTACAAAACACTTATAATATCTTTCGCACTAGAAACTTAAAAAAAAAACAAGCTTGTATTTACATATGTTTTGGAAGGGTTTATTATTATAAATACTATAATCACCCTTAACATATGATTGTAAGAAAATACTGTTGCATCAGCGAGGTCACGTGACTAGTATCACGCCATGTCCTTCTCTCGAACCTCCATGAATTATCTGGAGACTACTAGATTGGGGTAGTCTGGTATATATAAAAGATGGTCACAACGTGACGAGGGAATGAGTAATTGAACTGCAATCAGAGAGTGTGTAATTGAACTCGAGCACATGAGACGTTTGTTGTAGCACGACTGTTGAAATTAAGTGTATCGCAAAGTTATATTCAGAAAGAATAAACCAGTTTTATTTAAGAAAGGACTTGTGTCGCTAAAGTTTTGTCGGAACGAATTTACGGAAAATTAATTAACGAACGGAGACGTAACAATACATAACAGTGACCCAGGAGGAACGAGGAAATGCGAGCGATAAGATAGTTTTACCAAGAAAATCCCAATATTTAGTTGTTAACGATACGTAAATCTATGCATATCGTG